AAAACTCATAATAACGTACTGGAAGTTCCTTCAGCAGAGTTAAAGAGATAAAACAAGCTAATGTAACCGATTTGCAACCATCTCACGATGTCTGTAACATTAGTAAGTAAGAGGTACGAATCACAAACATCTGCAGCGAAAAAAAGTTTGGAGAATATTTAAAAAAAGTGCAGAAAACTCATAATAACGTACTGGAAGTTCGTTCAGCAGAGTTAAAGAGATAAAACAAGCTAATGTAACCGATTTGCAACCATCTCACGATGTCTGTAACATTAGTAAGTAAGAGGTACGAATCACAAACATCTGCAGCGAAAAAAAGTTTGGAGAATATTTAAAAAAAGTGCAGAAAACTCATAATAACGTACTGGAAGTTCGTTCAGCAGAGTTAAAAAGATAAAACAAGCTAATGAAACCGATTTGCAACCATCTCACGATGTCTGTAACATTAGTAAGTAAGAGGTACGAATCACAAACATCTGCAGCGAAAAAAAGTTTGGAGAATATTTAAAAAAAGTGCAGAAAACTCATAATAACGTACTGGAAGTTCGTTCAGCAGAGTTAAAGAGATAAAACAAGCTAATGTAACCGATTTGCAACCATCTCACGATGTCTGTAACATTAGTAAGTAAGAGGTACGAATCACAAACATCTGCAGCGAAAAAAAGTTTGGAGAATATTTAAAAAAAGTGCAGAAAACTCATAATAACGTACTGGAAGTTCGTTCAGCAGAGTTAAAGAGATAAAACAAGCTAATGTAACCGATTTGCAACCATCTCACGATGTCTGTAACATTAGTAAGTAAGAGGTACGAATCACAAACATCTGCAGCGAAAAAAAGTTTGGAGAATATTTAAAAAAAGTGCAGAAAACTCATAATAACGTACTGGAAGTTCGTTCAGCAGAGTTAAAAAGATAAAACAAGCTAATGAAACCGATTTGCAACCATCTCACGATGTCTGTAACATTAGTAAGTAAGAGGTACGAATCACAAACATCTGCAGCGAAAAAAAGTTTGGAGAATATTTAAAAAAAGTGCAGAAAACTCATAATAACGTACTGGAAGTTCGTTCAGCAGAGTTAAAGAGATAAAACAAGCTAATGTAACCGATTTGCAACCTCTCACGATGTCTGTAACATTAGTAAGTAAGAGGTACGAATCACAAACATCTGCAGCGAAAAAAAGTTTGGAGAATATTTAAAAAAAGTGCAGAAAACTCATAATAACGTACTGGAAGTTCGTTCAGCAGAGTTAAAAAGATAAAACAAGCTAATGAAACCGATTTGCAACCATCTCACGATGTCTGTAACATTAGTAAGTAAGAGGTACGAATCACAAACATCTGCAGCGAAAAAAAGTTTGGAGAATATTTAAAAAAAGTGCAGAAAACTCATAATAACGTACTGGAAGTTCGTTCAGCAGAGTTAAAGAGATAAAACAAGCTAATGTAACCGATTTGCAACCATCTCACGATGTCTGTAACATTAGTAAGTAAGAGGTACGAATCACAAACATCTGCAGCGAAAAAAAGTTTGGAGAATATTTAAAAAAAGTGCAGAAAACTCATAATAACGTACTGGAAGTTCCTTCAGCAGAGTTAAAGAGATAAAACAAGCTAATGTAACCGATTTGCAACCATCTCACGATGTCTGTAACATTAGTAAGTAAGAGGTACGAATCACAAACATCTGCAGCGAAAAAAAGTTTGGAGAATATTTAAAAAAAGTGCAGAAAACTCATAATAACGTACTGGAAGTTCGTTCAGCAGAGTTAAAAAGATAAAACAAGCTAATGAAACCGATTTGCAACCATCTCACGATGTCTGTAACATTAGTAAGTAAGAGGTACGAATCACAAACATCTGCAGCGAAAAAAAGTTTGGAGAATATTTAAAAAAAGTGCAGAAAACTCATAATAACGTACTGGAAGTTCGTTCAGCAGAGTTAAAGAGATAAAACAAGCTAATGTAACCGATTTGCAACCATCTCACGATGTCTGTAACATTAGTAAGTAAGAGGTACGAATCACAAACATCTGCAGCGAAAAAAAGTTTGGAGAATATTTAAAAAAAGTGCAGAAAACTCATAATAACGTACTGGAAGTTCCTTCAGCAGAGTTAAAGAGATAAAACAAGCTAATGTAACCGATTTGCAACCATCTCACGATGTCTGTAACATTAGTAAGTAAGAGGTACGAATCACAAACATCTGCAGCGAAAAAAAGTTTGGAGAATATTTAAAAAAAGTGCAGAAAACTCATAATAACGTACTGGAAGTTCGTTCAGCAGAGTTAAAGAGATAAAACAAGCTAATGAAACCGATTTGCAACCATCTCACGATGTCTGTAACATTAGTAAGTAAGAGGTACGAATCACAAACATCTGCAGCGAAAAAAAGTTTGGAGAATATTTAAAAAAAGTGCAGAAAACTCATAATAACGTACTGGAAGTTCCTTCAGCAGAGTTAAAGAGATAAAACAAGCTAATGTAACCGATTTGCAACCATCTCACGATGTCTGTAACATTAGTAAGTAAGAGGTACGAATCACAAACATCTGCAGCGAAAAAAAGTTTGGAGAATATTTAAAAAAAGTGCAGAAAACTCATAATAACGTACTGGAAGTTCCTTCAGCAGAGTTAAAGAGATAAAACAAGCTAATGTAACCGATTTGCAACCATCTCACGATGTCTGTAACATTAGTAAGTAAGAGGTACGAATCACAAACATCTGCAGCGAAAAAAAGTTTGGAGAATATTTAAAAAAAGTGCAGAAAACTCATAATAACGTACTGGAAGTTCGTTCAGCAGAGTTAAAGAGATAAAACAAGCTAATGTAACCGATTTGCAACCATCTCACGATGTCTGTAACATTAGTAAGTAAGAGGTACGAATCACAAACATCTGCAGCGAAAAAAAGTTTGGAGAATATTTAAAAAAAGTGCAGAAAACTCATAATAACGTACTGGAAGTTCGTTCAGCAGAGTTAAAGAGATAAAACAAGCTAATGAAACCGATTTGCAACCATCTCACGATGTCTGTAACATTAGTAAGTAAGAGGTACGAATCACAAACATCTGCAGCGAAAAAAAGTTTGGAGAATATTTAAAAAAAGTGCAGAAAACTCATAATAACGTACTGGAAGTTCGTTCAGCAGAGTTAAAGAGATAAAACAAGCTAATGTAACCGATTTGCAACCATCTCACGATGTCTGTAACATTAGTAAGTAAGAGGTACGAATCACAAACATCTGCAGCGAAAAAAAGTTTGGAGAATATTTAAAAAAAGTGCAGAAAACTCATAATAACGTACTGGAAGTTCCTTCAGCAGAGTTAAAGAGATAAAACAAGCTAATGTAACCGATTTGCAACCATCTCACGATGTCTGTAACATTAGTAAGTAAGAGGTACGAATCACAAACATCTGCAGCGAAAAAAAGTTTGGAGAATATTTAAAAAAAGTGCAGAAAACTCATAATAACGTACTGGAAGTTCGTTCAGCAGAGTTAAAGAGATAAAACAAGCTAATGTAACCGATTTGCAACCATCTCACGATGTCTGTAACATTAGTAAGTAAGAGGTACGAATCACAAACATCTGCAGCGAAAAAAAGTTTGGAGAATATTTAAAAAAAGTGCAGAAAACTCATAATAACGTACTGGAAGTTCGTTCAGCAGAGTTAAAAAGATAAAACAAGCTAATGAAACCGATTTGCAACCATCTCACGATGTCTGTAACATTAGTAAGTAAGAGGTACGAATCACAAACATCTGCAGCGAAAAAAAGTTTGGAGAATATTTAAAAAAAAGTGCGGAAAACGCTTAATCAAGTACTGGAAGCTCATGTAGCAGCGTCAAAAATACAAAACAAGCTAATATAACCGATTTTCAACCATCTCACGAGGCCGGCAACATCAGTAAGACGTACGAATCGGAAATATCCACAGTGAAAAAAAGTTTGGAGAATATTTAAAGATGTCTTGATATGGAAAACGAAATTTGAATAGAAAATATTTAACCAACTTGTGCTGTACCCTTAATAGCCTTGATGTTTTTTATGTAATGTGAGTGACTTTTAATAAAACAAAGCATTCTAAAAGCTTTATACACAATATAGTCGATATGCAGGATAAAGGATAGACTTGTGTCAAAGATGATGCCGAAATATTTTACTGAAGAGGAATTTTTTAATGTCACACATCATCGATTTTATAAGAGTTCAGAATAAGGTTGGGAGATCTTGTGAAGTGGATTGTAAAAGACGAAAAAATTCTCAAAAATTAAAAGTAAAAAAAAAAAATGTTTGATAAAAAAATTAATAAAGTTTGAGATATAACAAAAAATGTTCAAAAAAAAATCTCAAAAATTAAGTCGAAAAAATTCTCCAAAAATTAAAAGACGAAAAATTCTCAAAAATTAAAAGTCGAAAAAATTAAGAAAATGTTTGTTAAAAAAATTAATAAATTTTGAAATAACAATTATAGACAATTAAATATAGGTAATTATAATTATAGATAATTATAGATAATTATAGATAATTATAGATAATTATAGATAATTATAGATAATTATAGATAATTATAGATAATTATAGATAATTATAGATAATTATAGATAATTATAGATAATTATAGATAATTATAGATAATTATAGATAATTATAGATAATTATAGATAATTATAGATAATTATAGATAATTATAGATAATTATAGATAATTATAGATAATTATAAATAATTATAGATAATTATAGATAATTATAGATAATTATAGATAATTATAGATAATTATAGATAATTATAATTATAGACAATTATAGATAATTAATTGTAGATAATTATAGATAATTATAGATAATTATAAATAATTATAAATAATTATAAATAATTATAAATAATTATAAATAATTATAGATAATTATAGATAATTATAAATACTTACAGATAATTATAATTATAGAGATAATTAGATGATTATAATTATATAATTTTAAATAAGAATCACTTACATTGGAACTGAATCCGTTACAAGACAGGAAAGTCGTGACGCAATGAGCGGCAAATTTTCTTGCCAAAGGGCCTTTATCGCGCAAGTGCTCCACGCATATCTCCAAAACTTGCAATTGAAATTTCAGCGGGATTGCCATTTCTTTTTGTAATCTGGCCCATTGATTAAAAACCTATATAAAAAAAATTGATACACATATTTATCACAAAATATACAGTATTGCCCAAAATAAACGGTATAATTACATGTCAACGACAACCAGATCTCTACTTTCCAGACACATATAACTAAAGAAGCAGTCTTCAAAAATGCACCACAAAATGATACGTATTACTTAAGTTTAGTACTATTTTGGGCCATACTGTACCATTAGCATATAAGACCTCTCAAAATTGCTAAAATGCGCAGACGAACACCTGTCAAATTGTCAGTTTGTTTTATTTCCGGAATATCAGCGACATTCAATAATTCAGGCACGCCACTGGTACGAGCAATATTCTAGAATACTTACTTTGGCTCTAACCATAGCAGAAACATCTTCAGAATGTTCCATGAGGATTCCGAAAAGTTCGTCCCGAAATTTTCTCTGTTCATCGTCTAACTCGTCGTTGGTCAAATTGCTGAGTATAACTTCGACCATTACCATTATAACTGATATTCGAAGACTTGCAGGCTGAAAATATAGGAATTAGTAACGTAAATGTAATCGAAAACGGTATACGAACCTCGTAGTATAAATAATTGTTCAACGATACGACTTCTGGCATCATGAGGTCAGGTAAAAGAGCTGCTAAGGAAGACAAGACTGTAGCGCAATGTCGCGAACCCTAAAAATTACATTATTTGTTTCATGTTTTTGAAAATATACATCGATGTAGTAAAGAATTTATATATATATATTTAACCTTAGCACTATCTTGCTTCCATATATGGGACTCATCACATTACATTTTGCTTCCCCGACTATATTGATTCCGTATATCGGAAGCAATATAGTTTTTGTCCATTTTCTCTGTTAAAAATGATCATAGCGACTCCTAATAAATAAAGATGATACCGTTGTGTTCTTCTGATTTATATGTTACATTTTTGTATCGTTCTTCCACCTCTAACATGCTCAAATGACAATTCCAGAGGAGTCAATATAGTTAGTAAAGTAACAAATAATATACAAAAAAAAGTTCCGAGTTTTTCCGCTAGAGCTCCAAATAATATACATTTACCTATATACGCTCTAGAGTTTACGCACTATATTGATTCCAACTATTGGCAACGCTGTATTATATTTTTAACTGCTAACGTTTTATTGTTCTCCATGTATTGTGTAGTTTGGATCTGAGATTCACGGCCCTCAGCTCATTTCGGATGTGTTAAGTTTTAAAAAAGTGTTGAATTAATAACAAATAATAATAATTAAGAATAAATAATAATAAATAATAATAAATAATAATAAATAATAATAAATAATAATAAATAATAATAAATAATAATAAATAATAATAAATAATAATAAATAATAATAAATAATAATAAATAATAATAAATAATAATAAATAATAATAAATAATAATAAATAATAATAAATAATAATAAATAATAATAAATAATAATAAATAATAATAAATAATAATAAATAATAATAAATAATAATAAATAATAATAAATAATAATAAATAATAATAAATAATAATAAATAATAATAAATAATAATAAATAATAATAAATAATAATAAATAATAATAAATAATAATAAATAATAATAAATAATAATAAATAATAATAAATAATAATAAATAATAATAAATAATAATAATATTAATATTAAAAAATAATAATAAATTATGATGGTTGATGAATAATAGGTTAATGGATAATTGGATGATGGATGAGAGATGATGGAAGATGGATGATGGATGGTGGATGATGGATGATGGACGATTGACGATGGATGATGGATGATGGATAATGGATGATGGACGATGGACGATGGACGATGGACGATGGACGATGGACGATGGACGATGGACGATGGACGATGGACGATGGACGATGGACGATGGACGATGGACGATGGACGATGGACGATGGACGATGGACGATGGACGATGGACGATGGACGATGGACGATGGACGATGGACGATGGACGATGGACGATGGACGATGGACGATGGACGATGGACGATGGACGATGGACGATGGACGATGGACGATGGACGATGGACGATGGACGATGGATGATGGATGGTGAATGTTATATGATGGATGATAAGTGGATGTATGATGAATGATTGAATGATGAATGATTGGATGTTTGCATAATGGATAATTGGATGATTAATTGACGGACAATTGAAGATGAATGATATGTCATGAGCGATGGATGGTGGATTATGATTGATGATGGATGATTGGCGATGGAAGATGGCTGATGAAATATGGATAATTGAATGATAGATTATAGGATGATTTATGATGAAGGAAGGATGATGGACGATTGAGGAAGAATGATGAATGGATAATGGATTATGATTGATAATTGGATGATTGATAATTGGATGATGGATAATAGTTGATGAATAATTGGTTGATGTATGATGGATGATAAATGATTGATGATGAATGATAAGTGATGGATGATGGATGAGCAATTGTCAATGACGGATGATGGATGTTGACGAAAGACAGATGTTAAATGATGGATGACGGCTGATAGATAATAGATAATGGATAATTAGATGATAGATAATTGGATGATGGATAATGGATGATGAATGATGGATGATGCATGATGGATGATCGATGGTCAATGATGGACGTTGACGGATGACATATGTTAAATGATGGATGACGGCCGATGGATAGTCAATGATGGATGTTGACGGATGACATATGTTAAATGATGGATGACGGCCGAAGGATAGTAAATGATGGATGATTGGATGATGGATAATTGGATGGTGGATGGTTGGTGGTAGATGATTGGGTGAAGGATTATAATGGATGTCGGATGAGATGTTAATGATGGATTATGATGGATGTTGAATGACGGATGTAAAGTGATGGATGACGAATGATTGAGAATAAATAATGGATGATTGGATGATGGATAATTGGATGATAAATGGTTGGTAGTAGATGATTGGATGATGGATTATAATAGATGTCAGATGAGATGATGATGGATGTTGGATGACGGATGTTAAGTGATGAATGACGGATGATGGATAATGGATAATTGTTTGATGGAATATTGACCTGGAATATTGATGGTTGATTAGATGGTAGATGATTGAATGACAGATGATTGATGACGAATAACGAATACCTAACCTGGGCGGCCTGAAGCCATCGTAGTTTGCTTTGAAAAGAACATTACATAAAATTATTAAAATTTAAAAAATTGTAACTAATTTACCTTACTTGTGTGGCCTGGAGCCATATACAGTAACCCGCTATGGCTCCAGGCCGCACAGGTTAGGTAAATTAGTTTAAGGTTTTTTTTTTTAATTAGAATACTAGCATATTTTGTTATGCGTTAATTAGTCCCACTTTATTTATATTGGTCGCTAATTCTCATGTATTTGTCTCGGCGCAAATTTGTCCCGGGCGAAATTGTTTCGCGCTAAAATAGATCAGTTTATAAAATGTAAGAGAGACGGAGCTACACTTCAAACATTCTCTACGTAGGTGTCGTTGGAACATATCTTGTTCGTTTCGCGCTATTCTGTCTGCGCCATTTTGTCCTGCACTCTTTTATCCTGCGCCATTTTGTGCTGCGCTGTTTTGTCATGGAGCCAATATTCACACTTTTATTACTTTTTAACTAGTTTTGATTATTTTATGTATCTGTTCCACTAAGTCAGTGTTATTTGGGAATATTTCAGTTGCAGTTTTTTTTGTTATTCCTGTTCTCAACACATTTAATATTTAATTTAACGTTTTTTTGCATTTAAAAATATCTTAAATAAAAATGTGTTTAATATATTTTATAAGTAAAAAATTAAAATTAGTTTTTATAGAATTAATTTTTAACCGACCTCAAAAAAAGAGGAGGTTCTTAATTCGTCGTAATATTTTTTTTTATTTATGTATGTTCAGCGATAATTCTATAACACGGTGTCCGATTTCAATAAATAATTCTTATTTTGTTAGAAAGGGGGTACTTCAGGGGTGGTCCCATATAAATTTGGTCAAAATTTAATAATTGGGTCCATGAAAAAATCCTCAAATTCTTAATTTTGTATGTATATTTAGCGGTAATTCTTTACCACCTTGTCCGATTTCTATGATTCTTTTTTTGTTAGTAAGGGGGTATCTCAGGGGTGATCCCATATAAATTTGCTTAAGATGCGGTTATGGCATCTGCACGATTTTGAAAATTACTTTTAATACTTAAGTTTATTTAATAACAGAGAAACAAAAGTAAAACTCTCAGTAAATATTACAACATAAACATTTGTAATGACTAAAATTAAAACTAATAAAAGTTAATAATTAAAATAAATACTCTGTAAAAGAAAACGATAATAAATTCACTAAAACGAGGTACAATAGGTAATAAACTGGAAATTATGATTTGTTTGATGCGACTAAAATGCTAAATTAAAGAAGATACCACACCAAACTTATAGAAACATTATTTCAATCTTGTTTCCTTAAATTTTTTTAAACATTTCCTTATTTTACTATTTAACAAATTTTGGCATGAGTTATTGTTTCTTTAGGGAGACTTGACAACATTGCAGGATGCAGTAAAGTCGTGTTTATAAATATACGGAAGTAATATGGTTGCAAAATGTAATATTATATACTTCCTGGAATCAAAATAGTTAGCGAATTGAAAGTATGCAATATAGCTTCATAATGTAAAAAATCGTATATTTATTTTTTAAGATTTCACACTCAAAATTAGGTTCCTTGTATAATTTTTTTAACAGATTCAATATACGCTTTAAAAAATGCGCAAAACAGGTGTTTTCTGCAAGACGCAATAAGTGTGTTTTATGAAAGGAAGCAAAATAGCCGCAAGCTGTATATATATATATATATATATATATATATATATATATATATATATATATATATATATATATATAAAAGCCAAAAATGGCTTAGTCTTTGCCGACTAGTTAGAAAATAAACTAATTTTTTAGTCATCTCCAAATGCACTTGTCCTGTGGGTGGTGACAGAATAGTTGAGGGGGGACTTTAACTCTCTTTTTGAGTGTTTTGGTTCCTGCTCAGCTGGTGACACCACCAACAGGCTTGTGACATGTTTTGTTATCAAATCAAAATTTCATCCGTTTTTTCTTTGTACCTTTTGAGTATTTTTCCCAATACTTAACATTGTTCAAAATGTCAATTGTTATTGCATAGTTGGTTTTTTTTCCAATTTTACAAATTTGCATTAAAACTAAATGCACTGGCCCTGTTCGCGATATCGTCAGGTGAGTACTCCGTTCCAGCCCGGGCAAGGGGGATGACAACCTTTTAGCCTAGTGCGTTGGGATGGTTCACTTAGAGGGTGACGTCGCTTATAGGATTAGTGACATCTTGAAATACAAATCATAATTTTATCCGTAATACCTTCTTGCAATGATTTCTGACATTTAATATATAAAATATAATATTCAAATAATTTATTTCATCATATGACTCTCAACTATCAGTTTGGCAGTATCAGAGATGTTGAACTGTTAGTGCTTAGGTGACATAGGCCATTGACGGTTTCTTGACTGACGGTTGACAGGCATATGACAACTGACTTTTTGTACCCACGCTAAAAATAGTTCAAATAGTAACATAAAAAAGTTTCATTTTCGTTTCTAGTACCGAACGGTGTTAGATGTGAATTTTATTAATTATTTTAAAAATTTGACCATGTGCCCTAACGTAAAATTAAAATTATAAACTTTTTGGCTAACATGATTGTTATCAACCAATTTTATCTCGTTTTGTGATGTACCGTAATAATTTTTTATTTTTTATTAATATAACACCACATGTACGCAACAATTCTCACTGAGTTGTAAGTATATGTTTTTTCAAAATTGTTTCTTATAACCTCTGTAAAAATTAATATTGTAGCTCCCTGAAGATGAACATTATCATGTTCGAAAGCTTGGAATAAATACTTAAAAGAGTACACAATTGTAAGATTTTTGCTGAAAATCCCAAGATTCCTTAGTTTATATATATATATATATATATATATATATATATATATATATATATATATATTCTTGAAGTCCATACACATGCGTGTCAGGATGGACGAGCGGGAGAAGGCAGACCAGCGCAGTGGGCAGTACGCGAATAGACAGTGGCAATACAACAGCAACATTGTAATTGAGAATACTTGATCGTGAAATGAACCATTGAAAAAGCAGTTTAGACATTTTTATTAGGGATGATACATCCCTTATGTTTATATTTATACAGTATGGTTCAAATGAAAGGAATAAATTCATTATAATGGAAGTATTTAATGACAATTTCACAAATTCTTTTTATTTTTATTATTATTATTTTTATTATTTTGTTAGATTAAGCATTTAATTACAAATAATGATCTTTTATTCATTTATTGTGTTCTCAAAATAAAATAAAATTTATGTGTCTGATCTTTAAATGTCTTCTATTCAAAAAAAATTGTTATGTAAGATATTTCAAATATTATGTTTCCGAGTAGGAAATTGCAAGATCTATCAAAATCAAGAAAAAAAATTGGGGTTGCTATTTAAAAAAATTGTCAATGACGTCACTGTCCAAAAATGGAAAGTGGGGGAAAATTGAATTTTATTTAAAAAATTGCGCTTTAAGTAAACAAAATTGACCTGTCAGAGCATTTTTTCGAAAAACCAACTACTTCCATTATAATGAATTTATTCTTTTCATTTGAACCATACTGTATATAAAATGTATATTTAGGTAATGTTATAATGGGAAAAGCAAGGAAAATTCAAATGTAAAATAAAATACCCTTTTAAAAAATCTAACTTTAATATTTTTTTGAAGAACCCTGTATAAATGAAATTATTTTTAAATTGTTATCTGTGCTGTGGAAAAAGATTTTTAAAAAATCAAAAAGTTTTGGTTCCACATAGTTTATATATCTGTTATTTACGTTTGGAGAAGAAAATGTTTCAAATAAAAGTTATTTCTAATATTATTCTGTATAATGTTTGTTCTATACAAAATTTTCCTAAAATGGACCGTATTCTAGATATTTGAGAAAATTTGTAAATTTCGAATTTTGAAGAAAACTCAAAAACGAATAAAGAGAAAAACACTAAATTTTAAACTTAAGCTTTATTCTAGCCTGTGGTGAACTGTTTTTATTTTAGACAGAGTCGGAACATCTGGGAGGGTACTTTATAGGTAGTTATTTTTATATTTTATGGAATATATGTTATTTACGTTTAGAGAAGAAAATTCGTCAAATAAAAGTTATTACTAATATTATTCTCTATAATTTTTGTTAAATACAAAATTTTCCTAAAATGGTCCGTATTCGAGATATTTGAGAAAATGTGTAAATTTCGAATTTTGAAGAAAACTCAAAAACGGATAGAGAAAAAAACATCAAATTTTAAACTTAAGCTTTATTCTAGCCTGTGGTGAACTGTTTTTATTTTAGACAGAGTCGGAACATCTGGGAGGGTACTTTATAGGTAGTTATTTTTATATTTTATGGAATATATCTGTTATTTACGTTTAGAGAAAAAAATTCGTCAAATAAAAGTTATTACTAATATTATTCTCTATAATTTTTGTTAAATACAAAATTTTCCTAAAATGGTCCGTATTCGAGATATTTGAGAAAATGTGTAAATTTCGAATTTTGAAGAAAACTCAAAAACGGATAGAGAAAAAAACATCAAATTTTAAACTTAAGCTTTATTCTAGCCTGTGGTGAACTGTTTTTATTTTAGACAGAGTCGGAACATCTGGGAGGGTACTTTATAGGTAGTTATTTTTATATTTTATGCAATATATCTGTTATTTACGTTTAGAGAAGAAAATTCGTCAAATAAAAGTTATTACTAATATTTTTCTCTATAATTTTTGTTCTATACAAAATTTTCCTAAAATGGTCCGTATTCGAGATATTTGAGAAAATGTGTAAATTTCGAATTTTGAAGAAAACTCAAAAACGGAAAAAGAAAATCACACCAAATTTTAAACTTAAGCTTTATTTTAGCCTGCGGTGAACTGATAAGATTTTGGACAGAGTCGGAACATTTGGGAGGGTACTTTATGGGTAGTCATTTTTATATTTTATGGAATATATCTGTTATTTACGCGTGGAGAAGAAAATTCGTCAAATAAAAATTACTACTAATATTATTCTCTATAATTTTTGTTCTATACAAAATTTTCCTAAAATGGACCGTATTCGAGATATTTGAGAAAATTTGTAAATTTCGAATTTTGAAGAAAACTCAAAAACGGATAAAGAGAAAAACACTAAATTTTAAACTTAAGCTTTATTCTAGCCTGTGGTGAACTGTTTTTATTTTAGACAGAGTCGGAACATCTGGGAGGGTACTTTATAGGTAGTTATTTTTATATTTTATGGAATATATCTGTTATTTACGTTTAGAGAAGAAAATTCATCAAATAAAAGTTACTTCTAATATTATTATCTATAATTTTTGTTCTATACAAAATTTTCCTAAAATGGTCCGTATTCGAGATATTAAAGAAAATGTGTAAATTTCGAATTTTGAAAAAAACTCAAAAACAAATAAAGAGAAAAACACCAAATTTTAAACTTAGGCTTTATTCCGGCATATGGTGAACTGGTTATATTTTGGACAGAGTCGGAACATTTGGGAGGGTACTTTATAGGTAATTATTTTTATATTTTATGGAATATATCTGTTATTTACGTTTAGAGAAGAAAATTCGTCAAATAAAAGTTATTACTAATATTATTCTCTATAATTTTTGTTAAATACAAAATTTTCCTAAAATGGACCGTATTCGAGATATTTGAGAAAATGTGTAAATTTCGAATTTTAAAGAAAACTCAAAAACGGATAAAGAGAAAAACATCAAATTTTAAACTTAAGCTTTATTCTAGCCTACGGTAAACTGATAAAATTTTGAACAGAGTCGGAACATTTGGGAGGGTACTTTATGGGTAGTCATTTTTATATTTTATAAAATATATTTGTTATTTATGTTTTTAGAAAAAAATTCTTCAAATAAAAGTTACTTCTAATATTATTCTCTACAATTTTTGTATCATACATAATTTTTCTAAAATGGACCGTAACGGAGAAATTTGAAGAAAACTGTTAAATTTAAATTTTTCAATATTTTCATTGGCAATACATTAGTGATAAATTTAAAATTTTTAAAATAACAGTATGTGGTTAATTCAACATCAATCTCTTTAAAATTAATTATCAATCTGTCACTTTAACAGATATAATTGAAAGTAATAATTTTAAACAAATCTAAATTTAATTTTTTTGAAAAACCCTGTATAATCAAAATTATTTTTAAATTATTATCTATTCTGATAAACATCTTGCTGTGAAAACAGATTTTTAAAAAAATCAAATAGTTTTGGTTACACATACCGAAGCGTTACTGATGACTCACACTGTATAATTTAATTTTAACAAATTTTAAATGTAATTAAAATAAATTTCCGATCGATAACCATTCAGTGATTGTATAAAAAAACGTTTTTTTTTTAAATAAATTAAAAAAACACTCACCTGTGCATCTTGATGTCTCTCATCAGTTTGCCATTCAGTCAACTCCTCGATAAACTCGTGCAATAATCGTTTATAATTAAAATTCTGCACCAAATATTTAATACCATTCGGCACGCAGTGGATTAAATGTTCATGTAATTTAATAAGTTGCGTTATCCTCACTATAAAAGTCGTACCATGATTATAAGCCTTCATCAGGTATCCAAGAACATTAAAAATTTCATTAAATTCTTCTTTTTCTTTTTTTACGGAAGGATTTTGTAAAAATTCGTAACAAATTCCGGAAATTGTGTTAATAAAGGTTTCTTCTATCGCCTGGTCGTCCCAGAATAGAGATATTTCACGTTGTATGATATTGTTAAGTATGAGTAAGACACTTTTTTTGTCAACATAAAATTCTTCATCTGCATCTTTCACAGATTTCTTTTTCCCTAAATATATGAAAAAAAAAAAAAAAAAAAAACAGAATATTTTAATTTATATTCAAATAAAAACAAAACAATAGTACCTAGAATTTGATGGTTTCGGGAAATAAGGGAATTTACTTTACTTTACCAAGTTTTTATTTAAAAATTATTAGAATCAAAAATTACTTTTCTTATTCCCCCGAAACCATGGAATTATAATTTTACCTTTTAGAGATATTTGCTGTTCCTTTTTAGCTAAAACACGTTTTTCTAATAGTAATACTATTTGTGTATATAAGTAGATTAACATCTTTAAAATGTTTTTGTATTTAGCTGTTGTTTCGTCATTAAGATTGTCTTTATCGTCCAGTAGGAAGCCTAATGCTTTGTTAAGTTCTATTGCACCTAAAACAATTCATAAACTAATATACCGGGTGTTCCTACTTATGTTAAATTAATTTTAAAGATAAAAAAATGAAATATATGTACATAAGTAACGTTACGATTTGTTTTTAAGAAAATTGTTTAAATAAAAGTTATTTCTTATATAATTTTCTATAATTTTTATTCTATACATAATTTCTTTAAAATGGACCGTATTCGAGATATTTGGGAAAATAAGTAAATTTGGAATTTTGAAGATAATTCAAAAAACTGATAAAGATAGAAACATCAAATTTTAAACTTAAGTTTTATTTCGGGCTGTGGTGAACTGGCAGAGTCGGGACATCTGGGGAGGTACTTTATAGGGGGTCATTTTTATATTTTATGGAATATATCTGTTATTTACATTTGGAGAAAAAAATTGTTCAAATAAAAGTTACTTCTAATATTATTCTGTATAATTTTTGTTCCATACAAAATTTTCCTGAAATGTACCGTATTCAAGATATTTAAGAAAATGTGTAAATTTCGAATTTTGAAGAAAACTCAAAAACGGATAAAGAGGAAAACATCAAATTTTAAACCTAATCTATATTCCGGCCTGAAGTGAACTGATTAGATTTTTGGCAGAGTCGGAACATCTGGGGGGTACTTTATAGGGGGGTGTTTTTATATGTTATGAAATATATGTTATTTACGTTTGGGGAAGAAAATCCTTCAAATAAAAGTTACTTCTAATATTATTCTCTATAATTTTTGTCCAATACAAAATTTTCCTAAAATGGACCGTATTCGAGATATTTGAGAAAATGTGTAAATTTCGAATTTTAAAAAAACTCAAAAAAGGATAAAGAGGAAAACATCAAATTTTAAACCTAATCTATATTCCGGCCTGAAGTGAAATGATTAGATTTTTGGCAGAGTCGGAACATCTGGGGGGTACTTTATAGGGGGGTGTTTTTATATTTTATGAAATATATGTTATTTACGTTTGGGGAAGAAAATTCTTCAAATAAAAGTTACTTCTAATATTATTCTCTATAATTTTGGTTCAATACAAAATTTTCCTAAAATGGACCGTATTCGAGATATTTGAAAAAAAGTGTGTCTCGATTTTTGAAGAAAACTCAAAAACGGATAAAGAGAAAAATATCAAACTTTAAACTTAAATTTTATTGCGACCTGCGATGAACTGATTAGATTTTGGGCAGAGTCGGATCATCTGAGGGGGTATTTTATAGATAGTCATTTTTATATTTTATGGAATATGTTATTTACGTTAGTAGAAAAAAAATCTTCAAATAAAAGTTACTTGTAATATTATTCTCTATAATTTTTGTTCTATACAAAATTTTCCTAAAATGGTCCGTATTCAAGATATTTAAGAAAATGTGTAAATTTCGAATTATGAAGAAAACACAAAAACTGATTAAGAGAAAAACATAAAATTTTAAACTTAAGCTTTATTCCAACCTGAGGTGACCTTATTAAATTTTGGACAGGGTCGGAACATCTGGGGGGGTACTATATAGAAGGTCGTTTTACATTTTATAAAATATATCTGTTATTTACGTTTGGAGAATAAAATTCTTCAAATAAGTTACATTTTGACATTTTGACCAAAAAACATTTTACCCAAAAAAAAATTAATTAAAAAAATTTTGCGATAAAAAATGGCTACAAAAAAAAATTTGTTCAAAAAAATTTTGCCGATAAAAAATTTTGCCAAAAAAAAAATTGCAAAAAAAAAAAAAATGTAAAAAAAAAAAATTGCAAAAAAAAAAATTGTAAAAAAAAAAAAATTGGACCAAAAAAAAATTGTTCAAAAAAAATTTTGCCGATAAAAAATTTTACTAAAAAAAAATTGCAAAAAAAAAATTTTGGCGAAAAAAATTTTGCCATAAAAATTGGACAAAAAAAAATTGTTCAAAAAAATTTTGCAAAAAAAAAAATTTGCAAAAAAAATGTTGACTGAAAAAAGGCGGACTGCAAAAAGAAAAAAATTTGATAAAAATAATTTTGCCAAAAAAAAATTGCAAAAAAAAAATTTGCAAAAAAAATGTTGACTGAAAAAAGACGGACTGCAAAAAAAAATTTGCAAAAAAAATGTTGACTGAAAAAAGACGGACTGCAAAAAGAAAAAAAATTGACAAAAAAAAATTTGGACAAAAAAAAAATTGTTCAAAAAAATTTTGCCGATAAAAAATTGGACAAAAAAAATTTGTTCAAAAAAAATTTTGCCGATAAAAAATTTTGCCAAAAAAAAAATTGCAAAAAAAAAATTTTTGCAAAAAAATGTTGACTGAAAAAAGACAAACTGCAAAAAAAAAATTTGCAAAAAAAAAAAAATTTGGACCAAAAAAAAAATTCAAAAAAATTTTGCCGATAAAAAATTTTACTAAAAAAAAATTGCAAAAAAAATTTTTTCCGAAAAAAAATTTTGCCATAAAAATGTTGACTGAAAAAAGGAGGACGCAAAAAGAAAACATTTTGATAAAAAAAATTGACCAAAAAAAAATTGTTCAAAAAAATTTTACCAAAAAAAATTGCAAAAAAAAATTTTGCCGAAAAAAACTTTTGCCATAAAAATGTTGACTGAAAAAAGGCAGACTACAAAAAGAAAAAATTTTGATAAAAAAAAATTGACCAAAAAAAAAATTGGACAAAAAAAAATTTGGACCAAAAAAAATTTGTTTAAAAAAATTTTGCCGATAAAAAATTTTGCCAAAAAAAATGTTGACTGAAAAAAGGCAGACTGCAAAAAGAAAAAAATTTGATCAAACAAAATTTTGACCTAAAAAATTATTGTAAAAAAAAAATGCTAAAAAAAAATTGGCAAAAAAAATTTTGGCTGAAAAAGACTGCAAAAAGAAAAAATGAACCAAAAAAATGCAAAAAAAAATGTCAAAAAATTTACCAAAAAAAATTTTAAGCAAAAAAATTATGATCGAAAAAAAGGAACTTTCAAAAAAAATTTTGACCAAAAAAAATTTCTCAATTTTCGTTGTATTGTAGCTGTGTAGGCTTTTAGAAAAGGCGTGCAAAAAAAACTATGTGTAAGTTTAAGTTGCCAGAAAAATAGAAAGATTTATATTTAATTTATTTATATTTATAGAATTTAAAGTAAAACAAAATTTGAGAGGTAAATAATGAGATTTCATAGAATAAATAACAATCTAAAGGGGTATGGGAGTAGAAAGTTACACTGGTACCTGAAATATAAACAAATATATATTGAATCACCCCGTATTTCTAAAAATGATATATGAGTGTTTTATGGGAGAATATATTCTTTTTTACTTTCCTATCTGTATACAGATCACGGTGCTTGGGAACCAACTTTAAATAAAAAGTTTATTTACTACTTTTTTTTGGTCAAAGTATTTCTGAAGGACTATAGATTGGGCGCAATATATTTTTTAAAATCGGTTCCAGCAGCCGTTTTTTTGAGAAAACTCGATTTTTCTTGAAAAAGTGACCTTTTTTTTACTTTTTTGCTTGTAACTTGAGCATTTCACATTTTCTCGGCTTACTAAAAGTAAATTTCAATGGGAAAATGTCCGCTCTACAAAAAAGCATTAATGACTTTTTTCTCTAAAATCAGCCGATTTGAGATCTCATTTAACTCAAAATCGGTTGATTTTAGAGGAAAAAGTCATTGATGCTTTTTTGTAGAGCGGATATTTTGCCATTGAAATTTACTTTTTCCAAGCCGAGAAAATGTGAAATGCGCAAGTTACAAGGAAAAAAGTAAAAAAAAAGGGTCACTTTTTCATTAAAAATTGCCGTATTCGAGAAATTTGACAAAATGTAAAAAAATTATTTTTTATAAAAATTGTTTAAATAAAAGTTGTTTGTAATATAATTCTCTATAATTTTTATCCTATACATAATTTCTCTAAAATGGACCGTATTCGAGATATTTGAGAAAATGTGTAAAATTCGAATTTTGAAGAAAACTCAAAAACGGATAAAGGAAAAAACATCAAATTTTAAACTTAAGTTTTATTCCGGCCTGTTGTGAACTGGTAATATTTTGAGCAGAGTCGGAACATCTGGAGGGTACTTTATAGGGGGTCGTTTTTATATTTTATGAAATATATCTGTAATTAAAGTTTGAAGAAGAAAATTATTCAAATAAAAGTTACTTCTAATATTATTCTCTATAATTTTTGTTCTATACAAAATTTTCCTAAAATGGACCGTATTCGAGATATTTGAAAAAAAGTGTAAATTTAGAATTTTGAAGAAAACTCAAAAACGGATAAAGAGAAAAACATTCAATTTTAAACCTAATCTATATTCCAGCCTGAAGTGATCTGATCAGATTTTTGGCAGAGTCGGAACATCTGAGGTGGTATTTTATAGATAGTCATTTTTATATTTTATGGAATATATGTTATTTACGTTTGGAGAAAAAAATTCGTCAAATAAAAGTTACTTCTAATATTATTCTCTATAATTTTTGTCCAATACAAAATTTTCCTAAAATGGACCGTATTCGAGATATTTGAGAAAATGTGTAAATTTCAAATTTTAAAAAAAAAACTCAAAAAAGGATAAAGAGAAAAATATCAAATTTTAAACTTAAGCTCTATTCCGACCTAAGATGAACTAATTACATTTTTGGCAAAGTCAGAACATTTGGGGGGTACTTTATAGGGGGTCGTTTTTATATTTTATGCAAAATTACCGTTATTTACGTTTGGAGAAAAAAATCCTTCAAATAAAAGTTACTTCTAATATTATTCTCTATAATTTTTGTCCAATACAAAATTTTCCTAAAATGGACCGTATTCGAGATATTTGAGAAAATGTGTAAATTTCGAATTTAAAAAAAAAAAACTCAAAAAAGGATAAAGAGAAAAATATCAAATTTTAAACTTAAGCTCTATTCCGACCTAAGATGAACTAATTAAATTTTTGGCAAAGTCAGAACATTTGGGGGGTACTTTATAGGGGGTCGTTTTTATATTTTATGCAAAATTGCCGTTATTTATGTTTGGAGAAGAAAATTCTTC